GTTTTATCTATCGAGCAGGGAAAAACAAAAGTAACGACATAACAGGGGTAGTTTCTTCACATTGCTCCCCCTTAGTTCCATGAGTCGGCATACCCGCCTAGTGCCTGCCGGGTTGGCTTGGGGATGTCCGGGGAAGTCAGTCAATGTTCCAGTTCCATTTGTAGGGATAAACTATCCGCATTGCCAATCTGTTTGCCTGGCCTGTACTGCATGGTGAAATTGTAGGGTTGCAGGGCCAGGCTCCAGCGTAACAAACGGGGATTGTCTCCAGCAACTCGGTTTAACCAAATAAGGGGGCTATGATCAGTCACTAGGGTAAAGGGACGACTGTACAGGTATAGCTGCAATTTCTTTATTGCCCACATGAGAGCTAGGCATTCTTTCTCCAGGGTGGCATAATTGACCTCTCTGGATAATAGTTTCTGGCTGAGATATGCCACCGGGTGCTCCATCCCGTCGTCCCCCACTTGGCTCAACACGGCTCCCAGCCCAAACATGGAGACATCTGTGTGGACAAGAAACAGTTTAGTATGGTTTGGAGCGGCCAACACAGGTGCCTCACTCAGCGCCGTTTTAAGTTGATAGAAAGCGGCCGTGCACTCCGGGGACCAGGCTACCTGTCTGGGAAGGGTGAGGGGTTTGGCCAAGGCACTATACTTGGGGACAAACTTGCGATAGTAGCCTGCTGTCCCTAGGAAAGCTAGTACCTGGGTCTTGGTACAGGGTTGTGGCAGTAAGCAATAGCTGCTACCGTGAAGACTTTTCGCACGGAGTGCCTAATGGCCCAAGGTGGCCCTGTACTTTAACATATTCCAGGGGCATTCTCCACTGGGCCTGAGAGGGGACAGTGCCAAAATACATTCTGCAGTTACATTGGTTCTCAGGTCCAGGACACTCCTACTGACAATAATATAATACGTCCCCTTACTTAAGAGATAATTGAGTCAAGCAATTTACTAAACTCAATTATCTTCGAACCCAAAAACCACACATTTTCACAAAACCCAGAAAGTACCCCAAACTTCCTGGGAACCCCACAAAAATCATGTCCTCTGATTTCCCTTATGTGGGGGACCACCATATTCAAAAATCACTCAGATCAGTTCAGGGGTTCAAGAGTTACATGGAGGTCTTAATTTGACCGTCCGCACACAACGCTCCTGTCCAGAAATAGTTCCACGAAACTGAGCTGTGCGGAATATTTAGAAAAAAAAAATTAATAAATCCACGAATGGTTCCCCTGGCTCATAGGTAGCGTTTATTCCCCTAGTTCATGGGAACAAATCTACCGAATAGTGCTCTCCTGGCTGGTCTGTGAAAGGAAGCAGGCGTTCATGCAGTTTGACCGGGATCCGGGAAGTAGAGTGTCTGATTTTATTTCCAGACATTCGATGACCAAGTACCGCTGCCTCCTTTCGTGCGAACAAGATGGTCGCCATTTTCTCTTGCACGTGGCGTTCGGCTATATGAACGGTGGCCACCCAGAGAGAGCACTTAATTTGCACTTTGCTTTGAAGTGAATGAGCCAGGGGATGGTCGGTGTTCTGTATTTTTATCTACCACACAGGGAAAAACAAAAGGAATGAAATAACGGGTAGTTTCTTCACAAAGTCATTAGTCACCCATAATGCACTAAGTCAATGAAGACACTGTTTTTTATTATTTATTGTAGCAATTAACCTGACAATCAAGTCCTACGCCGTCAGATGGTTTTAATCTGTGCGGTTAGTAAGAAGGTTCTTATTTTCAATCCTGGACAAATATACCCACTTCTAAAAATCAATCATTATATTTTTCTTTTGTACAAAAAGAAAAGTCCTGCGCTCACTCCCATCACTCATGGGCAGCAGCAACGACCACAGTACACATTAGCCCCAATACATACAGTTACTTGTGTTCTCTCCTAAATGCCTATGTATATTTAAACAAATTGAGGTCATAGATTTGTACAATAAAGCTAAACTGTAGACCATATTCATCAAAAAGCCAACTAGAATTAATATAAGTTA